GGGCCTGGGGGCGCTGCCACTTGGTGCTTCGAACAGCGGCCGTTCGATGTCTCGTTTGTGAACTTGTTCCCAGTGCACGGTGTGGCAAATACTGATATGATAAACGTCATGAAGATATCGAAAGCGTCGCTGGATCTGACGAACGGACTTCTCCCACACGACGCTAAACACCCAGTAGTCCACAAGAAAGGGCCCCCAAAGAAGGCCCCCGGGAGCAGCGCAGCCTGAAGATCCGTTGCTCGGCGGATTGTCGTCTGTCCCCGACGTTGCGAAGCCGCGGGCCTCGAGTGGCCAATCTGGGAGTGGTAAGTCTGTCACGTTGGCTGCCCCAGCGGCCCCTGCAATTCCTGGCCCCCCAGCCCCAGCGGCCCCTGCAATTCCTGGCCCTCCATAGATCAGCGTTGACAGTGACTCAGGCGCGGACTCGACCGACAGCGAGGGGGCAGTCGTGCATGATGAGACTCTAGATGCTTGGACAGTCGGTGGGATGAAAACGAAGATAGCGCCCCCTTCGATCAAGGAGTCAGCTGGCGCTGCAGAATCTGGCGCTCCGATGGTCGTTCAGGCTCTTGTTCCCGCCGGCGGCGCTTCCAGCAGCAGTGGTGGTAGTGGCGGCGGGGCGGGGCCGCCAGCAGCACATCCATGGGGCATTCCTAAGGTCCCGCCCACAACTGACCCAGCATCAGAGGCGGACGGGCACGTGTTTGTGTGGATCACTCGCACGGGCAAGATGAGTCGTTGTGCGTCCTGCGGGGCTGAGATTGACAAGTCGGAAATCAAAGTGACCCACGACCCGCGTCCGAGTTTCTTGCCAAAGAACAAGCACTGGAAGCAAGTGCTTTGGAAATATTACCATATCCAAGTGAACTGCTTGCGCCGCGTGATTGCCCAGCCTCCGTGTTTCGGCCGTGCTCGACCTCAGGATCCGCGGTATCAGACTGATGTAAAACCTTTGCCTGCGCGCTTGAAGCAGACCGCGGGGGATTTTGCACGGGGTGTCAGAGATGCAAAGCAGCGCTATGCAGAGAGGTCTGCACTCGCTTGCCAGTGGCTCTCAATCGTTGCACCATCTATTTAAGGTTCATTTTTGTTCGTCAGAGATGTCAGCCGCGGTGCTCGTGGCGATTGCGCACTCGTATCACGAGTAGGCATGCGCATGCCAACGCGCACGATATCGATGCCAGTGCATAGAGCACGCGACATGTGACGTGCAAGTGCACAACAAGTATGAAACACTGCGCTGTAACATGTGATGCGTGATAACATGTAACATGTAACATGTAGCCTAGTTCACGCGATCACAGGTCTAACCTCGGCGCAAGAGTAACAATCAGTGAGAACATCCACTAAAAACTATGGACACATATGGTACGCACTGTTCTCCCTGCAACATGAGAGCTGACTCTTCTTGACTTTAACTTGTAGCTGGGCGATGAGAGCTCAGCCGCATGCCGCCTTCCGCACTCGCGTGATAGCGATCTGGTTTGAACGGCAATGCGTCTGTGACATGTGACATGGCCGCGGCTGTGGCGAGCTCGACGATGCGTCAGCACGCCGGGCCCCGGCAAAAGCAACATGTCGGCCGCAAGTGTCAGGTCGTCGTCTCGAATGCACCATCGTCGAATATGGGTTCTGTTTCAGCCTTGGCCCCAGGCGGCCAAGGGGCATGCTGCATGCCCTCTGGCCCCAAGCTCTTCCACCCTCGGCCTCATCATTGATGCACCCGCAGCCCCTTCACCTACACATGGCCTCATCTTCCTCCAAACTTCACTTCGCGGATCCTCCTAGATGCACATTGCGTCTGTCAGTCTGGCTGGGCCCCCTCAATCCATTTTGAGCCCTCTTGTTTCGCAAGGCCGTCCTTTGGGATTCCTCGGGATAGCCAATGGCTGGCGTCATGTTTGGATTCCTCTTTGCTTTCTCTCCCTGGCTTCGCTTGGTATCCTGCGGGCGATTCGAAGTGGGTGAGGTTTCTATTCAGCATGGCATCTTACTTGCTACTTATTCGGCTCGAGCTTCATTGATATTGATATTGCAGTCGGTGCTCATAGGCAGCATCTTGCTATACTACCCTTGGACTTCCAGGGAAGGGCGCAACGTTGCACTTGCATCTTGCTTGCATCTAGCACCATGCATCACATTGCTTGCAGGGCTTGTGGCGCTTGTGGTCCTGAGTGGGGAGGCTGCCGCAGTCTGCCGTTCCTAACCCCCTCTCCCTCTCGCTCTCGTTGGTCCATTCTGATCACCCCAGGCATGTGAGCGTAACAAGTGTCTCGAACCTGAGCGATTGCATGCCAACTTGTCCTCGATATGCCTATCGGCAGTCTTGAGTCGCGACTCGTAATTAGCATACAAAGAGTTAACATGATGTAAGCTTGAGTAACGGAGGGGGCTGGGAGGGCGGCGCTCTATGGAGGCGGGCTTCGACGACTTGCCGACGAGCGTGGGCGAGGGCGTCGCCTGGGACTCGCAGGCCTTCCGATCAGCCTCCTCTGCGTCGTCCTCCCTCCCTGCCCCTCCTCGTCGCCCTTCTCTTCCGCTCCCTTCTCCTCGCTCGGCGCTTCCGCCGCCTCCTGCACCTCCTCCCCCTCTCTCCCCCCCTTCCCCTCCTTGCTCTTCGGCCCCTCTTTCGCCCGCTCCTCCTCCTCTGCTCCTTTGCCTCCCTCGTCTTCTCCTCCGCCCTGCCTGCGTCTTTTCTTGCGATCTGCTAACTCGCGCGCTCGTTCTCCGAACGGGGGGTCGTCTTTTCAATTTTATGCATTTTTGATTTTTCTGGTATTTGAGAGGGGGGTTTGGGCCGCGGGGGCCCGAGGGGTCGCCGGGGGGGCCCGGGAGGGGCCAATAGAAATCCCCCCTGTGACTGTTGCGCAAAAACGAGCCGGGGGGCCGGGGGGCCCGGTGGGTCGCCGGGGGGTCGGCGAAATTCCAAAATAATTCAAAATAATTAATTACCAATGAAATAATTCAATGTTGGAATAATTCCCAGAAGGTCAGCTCGGGCGTTCCCAGGGCGCAGAAGAGATGAAAAGATGCGCAGGGCGCTTCGCGCGCGGATTGTTCGAGCTAGAGAACCTGGGCCGTAGATCGCAACCCTCGGACCCCCCCCCCCCCCCCCCCCCCCCCCCCCCCAGCCCCAAACTTCAAGCCGTCAGCCCCGCGCTCTCGGCCCAGCCTGCGACCTGGCGTCTTCGCCCGCAGCTATGCCGCTACGCCCCCCCCTCCCAAACCGCGGGCCGCGCGCTGTTCTTCACCTTGCCCGGGGCCGCTATATCTTAGCGCCAAGCCCTAATCCCCGTGCTCCGACCCCAAAGCCCCTGAGCAGTTTACCCGTGGGCCCGAAACCTGAAGCCCTGCGCGCCAATCCTTAAGCCCGAAACCCAATGCGCTCAACCACCTTCAACTCTGAGCCCCTCGAGCCCTAGGCCCTACCCCTTGAGCCCTATCCCTTGCACCTTGCCCCCCTGAGCCCTGGGACCTGACCCTTGATCCCTACCCTTTGAATCCTCGGCGTCTAGCTCTACCCCCTGAGCCATAGGCCCTAAACCTTGAGCGACTTCAACCCATCGGCCTTTCTCCCGATCTTGTCCATGCCCCTGGCCTTCGCCCTCTGCCCCAGGCCTACAGCCGCGCGCCCTTCCCCTCGGCCCTCGGCCTCCAGCCCTGAAGGTTACCCCGGCAAGCCCTCAGCCTACGTGGCCTTAGTTCGCGGGCTGCATCTAGATGGACGCGTTGTCAGGGCCCCAGGACGGCCTTCTCAGACGCCCAAGAGGGGGGCCGCGGGGGAGGCGGCTTCAAGAAGGGCTCCAAGGAGGGCCCCCAAGAGGATCATTTCATCATTTCAAATCGAAACATTGTAATCATGCCGCCTCCTCTCCTCCTCCGTCTCCTCCTTCTCATCCCCGTCCTTCTCCTTCTTCTCCTGTCCTCCTCCTCCTCCCCCTTCTCCTCCTCCTCCGCTCCCCCCCTCCTCTTCCTCCTTCTTCTCATGCTCCTCCCAGCCGACCCCTCCCTCGATCGGGGCGGCAGGTGTCCTTGCCAAGGTGCGAAACTCGTAGTCGGGTTTTGCGCGGGCGGTCCTCGGCCGCCGGAGCGTTGCCACTCTATCCTCTATCGTCGTCGTCGTCGTCGCCGCCGTCGCTGAGATCGAAGGCGGGCAATCAAAACGTCAGGGAAGAGCAGGGCACCGCGTCGCGTCCGCAAAGGAGGAGGAGGAAGAGGGAGGGAGGGAGGGAGGAGGAGGAGGAGGAGGAGGAGGAGGAGGAGGAGCGCGACGACGTCGCCTCCTCCTCCTCCTCCTCCTCCCCCGACCCTGCGTGCTCATCCCCCCGCCCTCCTCCACCTCGTTCTTCTCGTCTCCTCGCGCCTGCTCTTCGTTGTCGCCGCCAGAGGATACCGCTATTTTTCCGCTGGGAGAACCCCGAGATGCTGCTGCGCAAGAGCCAGGGCCACTGCTGCCGCTGCAGAAGCTGGAGGGAGTCGAGGAAGACATCTACATCTCCTTTGATCGGCTACCCCCCCGGACAGCAGCAACGCTGAGCTCTGCGCTGAAATCATTCGCAAGTGTTTTCTCTGACCTTCTGGTTGCTACGGCGTGCTCGGGGTCCGATATCGCCATCGAGATCATGGAAGTGCTGAAGCGCCGAATGCAAGCCCATTTTGATGTTAACCTGACACTCGTTCATGGACTCGGTGTGGAAATTGACGCCGAGAAAAGAAGCTTTCTCAAACGGCAATTTCCAAATCTGCAGCGCCTCCTTGGCGATGTCGCCAATTTGACTTCTCTCAAGGCGTGGTGCTTCGCAAAGGAAGCGACCGTGCCGGCGCCCGCGGCTCAGTTCTTAGCGGCATGCTTCTCGTGTACATCCCGCAGCAGGGCGTCGCCCAAGAGTTCATCAACTGCGAATTGCATTCAGAACCGCACCGAGGCTGCGACAAGCGTTACTTTCTGGGATATATACGAATACATTCGTTCTGCTCCTCCTTCGGTCGCGATCCTCGAGAACGCGAAGCAACTGATGGAGACCTCTGGCAGCAGCGAAGTTAGCGATGGTGACTACATCTGCGGCGAGATGAAGAAGATCGGGTATGTCGGATTCCACGCAATTGTTAACGCGGCGGAGCACGGGGCCATCACTTCCCGCATCAGGGTTTACTTTGTCTTCGCCTTGGCGAAAGAGGTCAAAGAGAGCGTGCAGAACAAAGCAATTTCATTCGCGGAAGAGTTGCTTGGTTGCTTGACCACAGATGTCGGCCATGTTGGTTCCACCCTCAATTTAGCCATGCCAACGGGTTCACCGCATAGTGGGGGGGCATCCGCGGCGGATCCAGACGCCAAAAGGCGGAAGAAGGACCCTCATTTCAAGGGCGACCACTACGAGATGTACATCGGCAGCGACATGTAGTGGCCCCCAACCATGGTTGCGTCGGACGGGATATACCCAGCGGGCCTCACCGGGAGGGAGCTGGAGGTGTTGTACTTCCTCAGCAAGAAGTTTCCCATGAACGATCGCGCAGTCCCAGAGTTCGTGGACGTTCTCATGTCACTGCCTCGTCTGACTGGATGGCCGTCGAAGCTTCGTAGCCCGTGGGTCGTCACCGTGCCCACCATCATCTCGAAATCTACTATTGCGATGCGGTGGCATCCAGATGGCTACGATGGCGGTCCACTTATTCGCGCCCTTACGCCTGTGGAGCTCATGGCAATCACGGGTTGGAGCTCCAGCATGTGGAAGAACATATCCGATGGGGCCGATCTCAAGAACGATGGCGACCTCGTGACCTCCCTCGCTGGGAACGCCTTCAACGGCTATGCGTTGAAGCCGATCGTCGCGCCCGCGATGGCTCTCAGCGACATGCTGCAGATGAGCCACGCCGAGCTCGAGAGCGATGGCGAGAACGCCGACGCCGAGGGCGACGATGGCGACGGCAATGCTTCCACAAGTTCTTCTGATTGATCGGGTGACGGCTTATCGTGGGCTTCTTCGTCTGTTCAATTTTGGATAAACGTCATTACCAGGGTCGAGGAGAATGGGGCGCCTTAATCGTCAGCACGCTTTTCAGTATGCTCATCTCTACTTGTCTTACTTGGACGCGCACTGCGCGCAGTGCAGTGCTTTGACAAGCAGCGGGCTTCAGCCTGCTGGGAACCTGGACGCCTGGTGATCTTGGTAATGCGGGGGCTCTTCGAAAATAATGCAGCAGCGCTTCTTTGTGTTCGTCTGACACTGTTGGTCCAGGGTTTCTCTGGGAGCCCAGTTGGACAATGCCCAAACTAGAAGAGGCTCGAATGGGAAATGAGGAGAAGGGAGGGGCGAGGATGGAGGGGGGGAGCGAGGATGGAGGGAGGAGCGATGAAGGAGCGAGGATTGAAGGAGGAGCGAGCATCTCGTAAGAGCAGATCGTCCGAACAAGACAACCGTCCCACAACATATGACCTACAAACTAAATGCAAATGCGAATCCAATCCCAAGCAAAATGCCGATGACGGCCCTGCGCGGGCCTTCGTCGTGCGCAACACGGGGCCCCAGAGACCGCCGTTGGGGCCAAGAGTTCTGGTCATTCAACTTGGTGTTACCTCTGCCCCTCCGCCTCCTTGTCCATCCTTCCTAGCCGAATGGCTCCGCCTTGACATCCCCGATCTTGCTTTGTTTTGCCCACTGCAGCTTTGGGCTTCGAGCTAGCTGCCGCTTTGCGGCGGGTCTTGCTGTTGCCCCACGGGTGCCAAGATGTAATCACTACCCCGTAGTGTGTACTGGCAGGTAACCGCGAGTCGCCATGGCGGACTCTCAGGGCTCGCACGCCTCGTTCGACAGTCTACCAGGCGCAGGTCAGCAGGAGGAGACCCCAAGTAAACGCAGCAGGAAATCCGACAAGGAGAAAAAGGACTCTGGCACAGGCGCAGTGAAGCAGGCTCTGGTCCACGTCATGGGCACCCTTCTCTGGTCACCTGATGGCCGCTCCTGCGAGGTGTGCTCGGCCAAAGACGCCGATCCAGATCCAGTGAGCTCGGATTTTCCTGGGAAGAGGTGGGCCTACCCAATCGAGGTCATGCACCAGAAGAACGAGGGGGCGGTCTGCTTTTGTTGTATGAGGGTGCACGAATCGAGATACCGATACGCGAGGAAGATGAGCATGGCGCAGCTGAAAGCGATGCGAAAGGACCCCCAGAAGCAAGAAGAGAACGCGGCATTCGACGATGAGCTGAAGCACTGCATCGAGTGGCACAAAGAGAACAACGCGGTGAAGGGCAATATTGATTGGACATCTTACGACAGCGGTAAGTCGACCACGGCGCTGGCAAGGAAAAGGTCTTCTCTCGAGATCGCTGACCCAGAGGGCGATTGGATGCACCTGGACGACTACAAGCCGCTGCACGGGGACCCGAAGTTGAAGGGCCACAAGGTCATCCCGCACCCTGAGAACAAGAGGCCGATCGCGATCATCCCGAGTGGCAAGTTGGGGAAGATCAAGAGGGTGAATGCCATGATGGCCGACGTCGAAAAAGAGATCGCAAACGAGAGCGACGTTGAGATGGCCCAGACCTCTGCCGAAGCCATCCAGAGCGGTCTCTTCCAGTCGTACGGCGGCGACATCAAGGCCACTGGGTGGGCGCTGGACCAGCTGATGGGCAAGGCGCCGTCATCTTCAGGGTCAGGACTTCCTGCTCCGCCAGTGCCCGTGCCTGCTTCGAGTCCTACGAAGACGGGTCCGACGACTCCTTCCAAGGCTTCGGTTGCTGCTGACGGCGATGGCATCGGCCTGGGCTTTGGCTTCGTGTTGAGCCCTCCCGCTGGCGCCGACCAGGGCGACTTGGGCGCGGCGCCGCTCGCGGATGACGCCCAGGCTGGGAGCCAGCGCGCGGGCGGCAGGAGATCCAAGGCAGGTTCTGCAGTCGCCGCCGCGCCTGCCGCGGCTGGAAAGAAGGCCGCCGCGAAGAGCGGGGCTGGCAAGGCGGAGACTCGCGGTCGCAAGCCGCGCGACTTGCAGGCCGTTGCCGGGACTTTGTTGGGGGATCTTGAGGTGTCCGACCACGAGACCGAGAGGTTCTACGGAACTGGGCGGGCGCAGACGAAGGAGTTCATGGGGGGGCTTCTGAAGGGCCTGCAGGACGAACGGGACAAGGCGACAGAGGTTTCATCGTTTGAAAGTTTCAACAACGCGTGGATGCAGATCAGTTGCGCCGCGGAGGCGCTGAGCATCGTCATCTGGAGAGGTACCTCCCACCAGGACTTCGCAGTCGCGTACGACAACCAGATGGCCAGGCTCAACAGCCACCTTGCAGTGGACTCGCGCTGGCCGGCGTTCTGGAAGGTCGCTCGCAAGGAGCTCTTCTTGCAGGCGGACATGTCCCACAGCGAGTTCTGGGAACAGCTGAAGGGCGACGCCCTGCGGGCCATCGGCGTCTCCTCCAACAAATACAACGAGGTCTACATTCAGCGCATCGCCAGCCGCATTGCCATTGCCATTTCAACAAAGATCCCAGACACGGGCGAGATCATCCGGAAGATGTCCATGACTTTCAACGGCGTCGACTGGGACCTCTGCGTGACTGACCCCAAGCTTAAGCAGGACTTGAGCGCCCTTCGGTATTTGGTTGATCAGGGCGCGAGCCGCGAGAACACCCAAGCAGCCTTGGACATCGTTGACAAAGCTGAGCGTGACAAAGAGAGTTATTCGATATTGGGTTCCCTGTTCAATTTCCGTGGTGGGAGACTGTGGGTGGCCATGGTTCACAAGAGGTTCAAGAACAGAGAGACGGACAGCAAATTGAACCTTTCGTTCGCTGAGTACCTTGGCAACGCCAGCAGCAGGGCGTCGTTTGCCATGGGCGCGGGGGCGGTGTCGACACAGGACAGACGGGGCCGCTTACTTCTCACTTACTCCCTGACTCTCTCTCTCTCTCTCTCTCTCTCTCTCTCTCTCTCTCTCTCTCTCTCTCTCTCTCTCTCTCTCTCTGTTTGCTCCCTCCCCTCTTCCCCCTTCCTCTTGCCTCTGCCCCACCCCCTTGACGTGCTCAAGGGGGCATGGGCCTCGCCCGTGGCTCGTGGGCCCACTGGCCCATGGGCGATATAGCGAGACAGTAAGCGGCCCCGTGAGGACCTGAAGGACATTCTCGCAATCTTGGTCAAGGCTGGCGACGTGGTTGCTCAGCTGGCGTCCAGTTCTAGCCAGGCCTCGGCTCTGATGCTGAAGGACAAGGTGCGCGAGTCGACTCACACGATGGCGACGCCATCGTTCAGGGCGCTGGTGACGACGGTCAAGGATGAGAAGTTCGACTTCTCAGCTCAGCATTTCAAGGAGCTGCTGCCAGTGGCGCAGGAGTTCCCCAACCTCAAGCACCTGATGAATGAATGCTGGGATTGCGACGTGGACCCGAAGGCGATGAAATTCGGCATGGATTTGATGATGTTCTCGCCGGCGCTTGTTGATGACAGCGCTTCGCAGGAAAAGAAGTTGGAGGATCCGGAGTTTATCGTGGAGGCTGCGCCGAAGAGCGTGGAGGTCCTCATTTCGGAGGAGGAGGTCGCGGATCTGAACCGCACTTTGGTTTCCCCGCAGCTCAGGGACGCCAAGGACCAGACGGTGAAGAAGTCCATCGAGTCTGCGGACATCCTGCTGAAAGCTTTGGGGGCCTTCCTACCCAGCCTCGAAGGTCGAGTGAGCATCAGTGACATGGAACCTGCCCCCGCTCACGACCCAGCCGAGTTTTTCGCCAGCTGCGAGAAGCTTGCCGCGTTTATCTCGTCGGGGGCGATTGATTTCAAGGATTCGGTCTCCCCCTTGTTGGACCTGGCGCAGAAGCTCCGCGATGATATATTCCACGAGCAGGTGAACGTCATCTACCACGGTTCCATTGGATATTTATATTGAATACCGCACAGCATTTAACAAGGTTGAGAGGGAGACAGATTATAAATACTGTGTTTATTTTCTTTCTCCCTCTCAACCTTCCCCCCATGCTTCTTTCCACACTTGTCCTTCTTACCAGCCAGGTTTGCGGCTCTTGGAGGCTGGCGCGAAGGTGGCCATGTGGCACAGGGAGAATGACTCCTGGGACCAGCGGAGGCCTAGGATGGAGTCTCCAGTCACGACGCTGCATGCGAGCTACCACGGCGAGATCCTCAAGAGCCAGGGCTTGCACGACGCCTCTCTCAAGTTGGACCCAGAGGTGTTCAATCCGACGGATGCTGTGTCTGGCCACGTTGTGACAGTTCTTGATGGCGATAACCTTGGATCCAACTCCAAGCAGCTCATCGGCGACGCCAGATTGGTCTGGCGCCGCGTGAGCATGCTGTGGAGCTCCATCATGTTGTCCATGGGCGCCGAGATCACGGAATTCTGCCCTCCAGGCTGGGAGGTCCATCGCGATGACCTCATTCAGCAGGTGGACGTGCTACAGGCGATCCGCAAGAACGAACACTACCAGAAGATCGGCCCCATGTGCGAGATGATCAAGGCGTCGCGCCTTGTCTGCATGTCTGGGCAGTTTCGCGCAGGCGTCGTGTCAGCAGGTGTGCTGAACAGGACTCACGGGCCAAATGAGGAGGAGGGAGGAGGGATGGGGGGGAGGGAGGGAGGAGGGAAGAGGGAGGAGGAAACAGAAAGAGCAGGAGGGGGGATGGACGAGGAGGGATAGGAGGAGGACGACGAAGACGACGAGGAGGATCAGGAGGAGGAAGAAGGAAGAAGGAGGATCAGGATGAGGACGAATACGATGACGGGAGGGATGACGACGGCGATGACGACGGCGATGGCGAAGACGACGATGCGGGGCCTGCCAGGACGAAGAAAGCATACGACCAGGGTGTCTTGACAGTAACGACAACATTCGTGTCCCACGCAATCGTCACCCAGCTCGCAAATATGCCAAATCACATCATGCGGGCTAACGCGGTCAGGGAGGTCAGGGACAAGATCAAAGCGAAGCTGGGTGACAACAGCCAGCACGGGGCGA